TTATGCTTGACATACAAAATCGAATGTCAAGTCTCAAAAAATGATAAAATTTTAACAGTTGACATACAAAATCGAACGTCAAGTCTCTTAAATAAGGAGAAAATCATGACTTGACATTCATTTTGAACGTCAAGTCTCTTAAATAAAGAGAAAATCATGACTTGACATTCATTTTGAACGTCAAGTCTCTTAAATAAAGAGAAAATCATGACTTGACATTCATTTTGAACGTCAAGTCTCTTAAATAAGGAGAAAATCATGACTTGACATTCATTTTGAACGTCAAGTCTCTTAAATAAGAAGAAAATCATGACTTGACATTCATTTTGAACGTCAAGTCTCTTAAATAAGGAGAAAATCATGAAGCAACATTCATTTTGAACGTCAAGTCTCTTAAATAAGGAGAAAATCATGACTTGACATTCATTTTGAACGTCAAGTCTCTTAAATAAGAAGAAAATCATGACTTGACATTCATTTTGAACGTCAAGTCTCTTAAATAAGGAGAAAATCATGAAGCAACATTCATTTTGAACGTCAAGTCTCTTAAATAAGGAGAAAATCATGACTTGACATTCATTTTGAACGTCAAGTCTCTTAAATAAGAAGAAAATCATGACTTGACATTCATTTTGAACGTCAAGTCTCTTAAATAAGGAGAAAATCATGAAGCAACATTCATTTTGAACGTCAAGTCTCTTAAATAAAGAGAAAATCATGACTTGACATTCATTTTGAACGTCAAGTCTCTTAAATAAAGAGAAAATCATGACTTGACATTCATTTTGAACGTCAAGTCTCTTAAATAAAGAGAAAATCATGACTTGACATTCATTTTGAACGTCAAGTCTCTTAAATAAAGAGAAAATCATGACTTGACATTCATTTTGAACGTCAAGTCTCTTAAATAAAGAGAAAATCATGACTTGACATTCATTTTGAACGTCAAGTCTCTTAAATAAGGAGAAAATCATGACTTGACATTCATTTTGAACGTCAAGTCTCTTAAATAAGGAGATAATAATGATTTGACATTTGTTTTTAAAGCTTAGGTTTAATAGAGTATATAAATGCACATGCTCAGAAGCATCATCTTAAGACTATCATCGAGTGAGTTGGTTGGAAACCATACTTAGTAGATTATGAACAAGAGTGTGATCAACAGAGTATATAAATGTACATGCTCAGAAGCATCATCTTAAGACTATCATCGAGTGAGTTGGTTGGAAACCATGCTTAGTAGATTATGGACAAGAGTGTGATCAACAGAGTATATAAAAGTACATGCTCAGAACCAGGTTTCATAGAACATGACTTTATGAGTATGCTATTAAGCATGTTTTTCATGTATTCTTCCGATCACGCTCTTGAGAGTATATAAAAAATCATGAAGCAAATTAACTTGCATGCAAGTTTTCAAAACTAGAGTATGATTGAGTATGCTATTGAACATGCTCTATACTGTGATCTTGAGAAGATGTTAAAAAAGCGTATTCTCAACCGTACTCTTGATCAAGACCATGCTCTTTGTCTGTTAGGGTATACACTTTAGAAAAGATCAAAAACTCTTTAAATTTATTGTTCTACCTCTTATTATTCCGCTACTAAAATTTGATACCTTTTTTGCTTCTTCTTGTAGTTGTTTGAGTGGATCAACGAGAATGTTAATTGGATTCAGCAAAAAAAGAAACAAGTATTTTATTAATTAAATGTGGAATTCTGATGGGAAAAATTAACATATTCATATGCATGCATATATAAAGTATCATGTTTATTGTTTGAGGATGTACCTGGAAATTATCATGCACTCAAGATTGGTGATGGTTTGATATTGTTTGAGAAATTTTGTTCAAGACATGAAAAAAAATTCGCATTGAAGAACTGACAAAATGACGGATAGATGCATACATAGCTGAACTGGTGCATAGCTGGACTGACGCATAGTTTTAATTGCGCATAGCTGAATTAACGCAAAGCTAGACTAACGCATAACCAGACTGAAGTATAGCCAGTCTAACGCATGACTACAGTAACATATAGCGAACGTATATCGTGTATCGTCGATACACTTCGTATATCGAGGTTGACGCATAGCCAGACTGGCGTATAGCTTCACTGACACAAAAGTTGACTAACGCATAGCTACACTAACGCATAGCTAGATTAACGCAAAGCTAGACTAACGCATAGCCAGATTAACGTATAGAGCTGAACTAACGCATAGCCAGACTGACATACTTGCCACATACTCTCTACAATGTTAATGGTTCTCTATTTTGATTTCTTCTTTCATGTCTCTTAAATTTATGACAAACATTCATATAACAATTTAGTTTTATTCTTACGAAATGCACAGTCTACTACAGAAGTCTGAATTAAATAGGCAGCGACCTATCGAGATGATTTAAGATGAATAAATTCTGAGAATGTAATTAACGAGAAAATGAAATCAACAAAAAAAAAATCTGTGGATATTGTGACATCAGAATTGATGAGATTGTTGATTTTTCCTTTTATAAGCGGTTATTGCAGTATGTAGGCATAGAAAAATGTTTACATTTGATCTTCATAAAAGTGTTGGACGATTGCTGTAAACATACATAAATAATAATTTTTTTTTCGGTTAATTTAATGTCTACTTAACGGCGCCCTCCATGCACACTTTGTTTGTGTGCTGTGCTGTTCCTATTCTCGTCTAAATCATTCAAAACAGAAGAACATTAGGCATAATAAGCCGCATTGCATTTTTACGATCGATCGTCTTAAAATATCATTGACGCTTGTTAAAAAGAGATCACATTTCTTTATGGGGGAAGTATAAGGATTTGTTTTTGTTGAGAACGTATTAAAGATGATTTTTTTTTTCGGAACTATTTCATAAACGCATGTTAATGACATTCTTATGGATTCTAATGAATTATTAAGTATTTATGGAATTCAATGTAATTTAGTGCAGTAAGAGTGTGTAAGATGTGTGTAAAGATATGGAAGGAGATAATTATAGAGGCTTGAGGACCAAGAATCTCTTGGTAATAGCAAGTCAACGATAAATCATGTAAGTGTAAGGAAATAGTACAATGACTGTAAAAACCAAATCTCAGACTGCAATATCTGTTTCTGCAATATCTATGACAGATCTGCCACCTGTGCCTACGGCAGGCAACCTGTATCGCAACTCTAGAATTAAAATTTAAAATATTTCAATAATCAAGAATATTAATCATTTATTTATGGTCACCCACACTTACCTTCAATTCCTTAAATAAAACTCCAAACGATAAATAAATCACAAAAGTTTCAAATCCCACAAATTGACATGTTTAAAAGCCTGTTAAAGTACTCTCAGAAATAATTGTCAAATTATCTCTAGTTAATCGAAATGATTGATTATCCCGCAAATTTAATTTGCAGCCATACGAATCTCCACAAAACACACCGAAAAAACCATCTGGAAGTAAATTGCATAGCACAAAGCAAAAACTGAGAGCAATGCAGACCAAACAGCTCTCAAACAATTTGCCGCAAACATCTAGGGGGGTAAAAATGTGATGGGGAAAGTTTTAATTGGAATTTTTTTTAAATTTTTCCCAAAATTTTTATGCAAATAGAGGCCAAGGGTCTAGATGACCTACCCCCTCCCCCCCTACCAAGAGTTTTGAGCCACAGCGATAGTACGGGGGTGGACCCTTCTATCAGGGGCGTAGCTAGACGTGCAAATAGTGGCGTATTTGAGTTTTTTTTTGTTTATACCCCATTTTCTAAAGGGGGAGAGGGGGGGGGGGGGGGTCTTTTAGAAAAATTTCTTTAATATGTAAAGAAATTTTGAGGGAAACATAAAAACTTCTTGATTGTTTCCTTCCATAGAAAAAATTACCCCACCGTCCCCTCCGAAAAAAATTTCTGACTTGTTCCTCTAATATTAGTATTTTTAAACGGAAAGAGAGAAACATGAACAATCAAAAGTATAATTTAAGATTATTAAGTCCCTTCAATAAAGAATGACGTTAGTCATAATTATTGAAATATGAAAAAAAAAAAAAATTAGGATCGCCAGACATAGCCTTTCGCCCAATAATTTCTAATAACAACCATAGGGTCCAATTCATTAAGGGAGTCCAAACTTTTATTAACAATAACTTCAATCTTTAGGCAGGGGTCCGGCCCCAATATCCTCTCTTGCTACGCTTTTGGATAAAGAATTGTAGAAAATCATTGTTAAAAAATTCAAAGTTTTCAAAAAATTACCCATCATGTTGTTATCCCCCCAACAAACATCACAAAAATGTGTTGAAAAATCTAGAAAAAAAATGAAATTCTTACCAAAATTATAATTTACTTGTGTAAACAATGAGGGGCTTCCTATCATTACTCATTACTCATCATGTGGTTATGATTGCTGCAACTGCTTGTTAATAATATATTATTGAGCCAAAGAAAAGAGGTCAAAAAAAATTTTCAAGCGTTTTATAAAATAATTTATTGCAATTTTTTTTTTCATCATTTCCTTTTTCATCGTATAAACTGATTTATTAATACCTCAATAAGCTTACAATCTACATCAAAATTCTGTATTAAAAAATACTTTTTTTTTCTTATAAATCTTTATAAGAAAATTCCTTATTTTTCTCAATACAAAAAGAAAAAAAATTAATGTCAAAAAAAAGCATTTTTTAGACATTTCGTTTACAATTCAAGTCAAGTCATCATGCAATGATGATGACTGCTTCATTTTTTTTATCTCAACAGTCTTATATTTAACTTCCTTTTGCTCACATCCAAAAGTATTGTTATTTTTTTTTTATTGATAATTAATGCTTAATACTTAATTTTTAATGTCTTTGCATAAAAAGTGATTATGAAGAAGATATAATATAGCGACCATAACTTTCTTGGTATCATTTTTTTTGCAGTAAAGATTATTGTTTAAGTGCTTATTTTGATATGATGACGCAGGGTTGTTGTGCTTATGTTTTGGTGCATTTTTTCCTTTGGATTTTTTTGGGGGTGTATTTTGGATTAATGGATTTTTTTGTGTGGATTTTTAAGTTTTTAATTTATGTTGCTGTCTATATGCTGCTGATTGAGAAGCTAGCTTTATATAAACGAATTATTTATTTTTTTTTGTCATTTAAAGCAATCAAGAGAGTAGCCAGAAAAAGTGTGGGGGTTGAATTTTCTGTGTGGATAAGAACATGTTGATGGGTTTCCTCAAAAACTCAAGGAAATTGAACAAAAATTTTTCAAAAAAAGGGTAACCCAGCCATCCCAACCTCTTTGTCAAGCTCCTTATAGCAGTCATAAAAATATGTTAAATGCTCTTCTCAGTCTCTTAGCTTTATACTGAAGTCTATTCTGAGCAACCCCAAAATTGACTTAGGAATCTATTAGGTATCATACAGAATCTACTTGAACTTCGAACTTTGAGAAGTTTTCAAGTAGCTGTCAAATGTCCTCAGGGCTCAAGCATTAACCAGAGCTCAAAGTCGAGTTAAGTCCAGTTAAATATATTTTTGTATGATAAATTTACTCGAATTGACTTAAACAGCGTCGATTACCCCGAATAACACAAATCAGGTAATTGATCAGAAAACCGGCACTAAGCCAGTGTGCCACTGACATGGTGCTGGATTTATATCGAAGCCAGCACCATGCCAGAGTCACACTAGCTTGGTGCCAGATTTCTGATCGATTAACCGACTTGTGCTTTTCGGGTACAATTTATAATATATAATGCTTTGGTTCCTAGCCAAAATTATTGTGAGTAATTCCAAGATTTTAAGTCTCGATTCTAAGCATCTAGCTCAGTTTCTTTCAAACCTTTTTGCCAGGTAACACACCTTGATGGTAAGCCATGACAAAAACCATACGAGATATTTTTCAAATTTGTCTGCGATACACCAGTTTAGAATTTACTGATCTAGTTGAGGAGTTGGATATTCTGGATACATCATTAGCCAGTGTAGCGATTAGCAAGTGTGTAAAACGTGTTTTTGATTTGAAATTGACATAACGTAGGTTTCGGTTGGGTTAGTAAGCTAGCTGAAGAGAAAATCTTGCTGATCATAGTGTCTTATATTGTTAAACCTCTTATGATTTTGGTAATTTATTTTAGATTGGTCCAGAATTCTTAATATCCAAGCTTAAATAGCCTTTAAGTCAACATTGACATAGATGACAAGATATCCTCGGAGAACCTTAAAAATGCATCCATTAAGTTCAAAGACTCGAAATTCCACAAAAAATCCTCACATCTTTAATGCTACTTCCATTAAAATCCACCACAACAACCCTGGTTACTAAAATTGATGATGATACTCTATAAGCGACATCAATATAAAATTTATAAGTGATATTGAGCAATAATTGATAGTCATATGACTGATTAGACAGTCACAATCAGCTACACATTTTCGTCTCCCCAGAATAGGAATGTTAAAAATGTCTCGAAATTTATGATTTTTTTTTTAAAAAAATGTTCTACATTCAGCGTTACAATAATACGGCATTCACACACGGCAGTAAAACGTCTGGTCAATAATATATGTAGGCATGAATTTCATAACACCTTAATAATTAGCAAGAAATATCGTTTATAACATTAGAGGGCATACAGAATGTGTGTTTTTTGTGTACAATTTAATTAAAATACAAATTTTTTAAAAATTAACTTAAAAAAATCAAATTTTTTTTTCTCCTTGGAACGTGAAATTTTTTTTTGTTGTTTAATTTTTGTTTGTTTTAATTACAAAAGAATCACATTATACAAATTAAAAGTAAAAAATAATAAAAATAAAGAAAAAAACAAAACAAGAATTTGCGTAATTTCTGGTGGGGGCGTTCATAAATAATGTCAATTTTTTTTTTGCCCCACCACCCTATTGGGTTGTCTGTCATTGACACTTTTATACAAAATTAACTTATAGTGACAGGAGATGAGAAGTGGGTCTGCACTTAATGGTTAATGAACATCATTCACATATGACCCCCCCCCAGCTGTTTGCATTTCCTAATGCTATTCAATAATGTTTATTTCCGTTACGGGCTTCTATTGATGTGCTATGTAGTTGTGAGCGTCGTTCACTTACCTTGCTCACAATGCATAATAGCAGCAACAACAATAAAATACAGTAGCGGTACCCAGCTGATGAAAATTACGCAAATTTATTTTTTGTTTTGTTATTTTTTTTTTGATTTTATCAATAAAAAAAATCAAATAATGATGATGAAAAACTTAAAAATAACTTTCTAACATCGAGAGTCGAGAGGGAAAACGAGGGAAATAAAAACAAAAAAAAATTATTTCATCACACAAACAGGTATTTAGCAATCAAAATAATAAATTATAGTCAGGAAAAATGCCACAAAGAACTGCTTACAATTACTTCTCTCTTAAATGCAATGCAATATGAAGTTAATTAATGTCATTTTTAAATGTTTTTTTTTTTGTTTTGTTTGTCGTCTAGAATAATAAGTCGGTTCCGCGTGTTTCCTCGCTACTCCATCGATGACTTTCAGCATCTGTTGCGGGTTTAAGGTAGTCTTCATCGTCGTCTGGATTCGATATGAATGTATTGTCTTCGGATGATGATGAGCCTGATGTGGATGATGGTGAAGGCGTTGTTCTGGTTATTCCCAGCTCAAAGGATGATGAACTCGCTTTCTGTGGTTGGTAATTGGCAAATGGTGTTGAACCTAAAAAAATTAAATAATGAAAATTGTGAGAAAGAAATTGGTTATTAATTTATAATTCATGTTGATTATTGTTGAGTATAGAGAGCAATAGAATTGATGGTTAAGATCAGTGATGGCTAACCTATGTGCAACGGAACACTGTCATCAAAAAATTCGACAAATCCTATAAACTGAGTGTCTTGTGCGGTTTACCATTAAGGTGCACCGAGACACAACAAAGGTTGTGCACCACTGCTTAAGATGCTTTTTCGTACTTTGGGTTTTTTGAGTTTTTTTCATTGGCCTTTTTAATGTTGTTCATCTCAGGGGCGTAGCCAGAAAATTTTTGAGGGGGGGGGGGCCCATTTTCGAAAATTAAAAACCGTTATTTTGCATCCTTAAATCTATATTCATTCTTCATAAGTTTAAATATTTAATTCATTATTCATACATTAAATTTAATTTTTCGTGCTGATTTTGACATTTCTTTCATCACTTCCTCTACATTAACTGGTTCTTCTCTATAAATACTTAATAAAACAATTAGTATGAAATGTTATACTTCCCAAATGTTACCGAAAAAACTTCATACAAGTTTTGAATTAGCTTCTTGCGAGTTCAAGTCGACCTCTGGTGTATATTAGTATAAAACGAGTCTATTGTGATGGGAATTGAACCCGCGACCTCAATAGAAATCATCTTTGCTATCATAATTAAAGATCTCAGCCACTGGGCCTACGAGGTACTTTCCTCATATCAACTATCCGTCATAAATACGCAAGCAGCTTCGTTTCCAGACCTAGTTAAACTGAACTTGCTCGTATAACTAATGTTTAGCTTTTTATGATTGAAAGATGTTATCACTACAGTCAAAAATACTGATTCTTAAATTCAGCGCCAGCTAAGGTATGATTAGGGGTCTAGGCAGAGGGGCTTAGCGGATCAACTTTCTCTCTTTTTACCCCTGCCTAAATTTCATCTTTAAACACCATTTTAAATAACAATTAAAGCTAATGGTCTTCGAACAAAGTCCCTTCTTGTGCGAAGAAGTTCTACTTTACTACAGTCCAAGGCGTGGACACTGGATGAGCAATCTATTGTTTCCGCAAGGAAGAATTTATTGTTTCGGATGAAATTTTTCATTGTTCTTGATGGAAATTTTTTTAATCTCCATACCTTGCCATATCAACCATAGCACTTTATTGGCATCATTGTTTCATCCCCAAAGCTACAAAACAGCATTCAATCTTACTTAAAAATTCTATTCCTCCCTCTAGAAAAAAAGAGAATCTCTAGTCTCGAGAAAAAAGATAACTTACTCACCCAATGGCACTGAGGTCAATAATTTCGATGAACTTGATCGCCCATAAAAGTTTGCATCCACTTCATCATCGCAATCACCGAAAGTCTCATCAATCACCAGCGATGATTCTGATGGATATTCGTACGTAGCCGTTAGTGAGTCGTCAAATTGAATTTTGAACTGTAAAGAAAAGAATGGAATGAAATGAAGTGAGTAAGAAGAAGCTCGAAAAATGCACAACATAAAAAAAAAGAATTTTTACACCACATTTTGAAAAAAGTAAACATTATTTACTGTAAATAATGCACAAGTTTACATACATCCAACATTACAGTAATGAATCATAATTTTTTTAAAGTAAAAATGCGATGAGTCATTTATCAATGGTTATAGAATCTAGTTTATTTGTTTATTTACATTATTATATTTTTTTGTTGCTGCTAATCGCATAACAGTCTCAGTCAGTGAACTCATTTTGAGCATGAGAAATTGATTTATCGGACAATTGGAGTGATTGTGTCTGAATTTTTACAATATTAAAAAATATTTTTCATAATTTTTCTCTCTTTCGCGCTAGCTAGCGGGTGATTTTATGCTTGGATTTTTTTTTCGTATTTAATTAATTAGCTTGGATTTATGCTGTTTATTAATCACTGAGAATACTGTAAATAATCGAAAGTTTTGTTTGATCGTTAGAAGATATTAATAAGCTTTAAGAAACTAGAGCAAATATGAGTCGATCAGATTATTGGGGTCGTTCAGTTATGACGTCCATCAAAAAACTTGATTTTTAGACCCCCTCCCCCCCTCTGTCGCAAAAATTTTATAGAAAAAAATTTCCATTGTTTGAACTGTCACAAAATCTTAGACCCCCCTCCCCCCCTAAATGTCGGACGTCATAAGTGAACGGCCCCATTCATGAATATTGATAGTAATTAGTAGAATGTGAACTGGAATAGATTAGGAAGTTGTACTGAATGAATGTAATTGTAATAAATGTTGAAGGCAGTCTATTGGTTTTTGCCCCTTGATTTTCAATCAGAGGGCGGGGAATGTCCCGATTTCAGCTCTAAACAAGCGGGACAGGCCAAATTTTCAAACATTTTCCAAGAAAATTAATTTCAATAAAGCCGGACAATTAAGGATTTTAGGGGGAACTTTGTTCAAAAAAGCAAGACTGTCTCGCTATAAAATGCGCAGTTGGAAAGCCTATTTAATAGGACTTGGTTTAATAGCCCCAAGCTCCCCCCCCCCCCCTCTCCCCACCTTCTAAACATCGAGTCATATATAAATGAATCTACCTGTGAAATACAATGGCTTCCAGTCTTTAATTCAGTGTTTCTCAAACTATGCTCTGAGTTATTACTTTGCCAAAAAATTCTAGCTGTGTCAATAATGGTTGCCAGCATGGTGCGGAAATATAAACTGATGATTTACTTCTTCGGAGACTAAAAAGTTGGAGAAGCACTGCTTTAACTGAATTTAAGTTTTCTTGATAATTTTTTACAGCCAGTTTTTCTGGCTACAGTTCATAAAATAACTGGCCCGTAAAGCCTAATTCAACTCTGTTTATAGCTAATCTCGAGTAGTACAAGTTGGAAAATCATTACGAAATCCTTCGCCGTTGTCATGACTAGAAATTTGTCCCCAAGTCGTCCTAACGTAGGATTTCGTCTCGATTATCCAACTTATGCTACTCAAGAATACTAATTTTAGAACAAATCTCCAAAATTCTCTAAAACCTTGAGCTGTCAAGACAGTCAATCTAGATCAACACAGAATAATTTCGACAGAAACAAATTGGATACATTAAGAAAATTAAATGATCTAGTCTAGAAGATTTGTTCTTCCGGATATCTTTAATATCTTAAACAACATAACCTAAAATGACTGTAAGTTGCCTTGGTTGCAAAGAATTCATTCAAATTTTACTACATTCATGCTATTTAGTAATCAATTCATGAATGCCGATGGATATCAGTCATAAAATTTTTTTGTCGTTTTTGCCCAAAAATCGTTCAATAAATGCTTATAGACTTGGCGCTCTTAAAATTCTCAAAAAATAAAAGTTATTGTGAATTATGAAAATATGGTAGTTTGGGGTTTTTTTTTTCATTGAACCGCATATCGACATATTTACTACATACACACACACTCCCATTGTTCATTAATCCACGCAAGAACACTCGCACTTTTTCATGTATTTTTTTATATAAATCTACATAAAAAGTTTATCTACATGCAATATGCGTTGACAAATGATTGCCTATTCATATCAGAGGAGAATGAAAATGTATATAAATCCATGAATGGTGCTCAATGAAAATGGCCAGATGTTGTCGTTGTCGTCGAACAGTCGACGAATTTACTGAAGTGTGCTTAACTATTTGTCAATTTCTGATTTATTTTCTTCAATATATCATTTAATGGAATAAATTTAAGTAACAAATTTGTGAAATATTTATTGGAAATGTGTGTGCTTTCAGTCAAGAAAATGTAGAGCATCTTCGGATGATCTTTTGGATGTGATATGGAAAACTTTTTCAGGAACTTATTTTGTAGAACTCACTTTAGTATTGAGCATTGACCAAAATCTTACACCGCATACGGCTCGTGGGATTTCTTTATTTTTTTTTTGATCATTAAGTTGATAAATCTGGAGTATTTGGAGTTTTAATGCTACTAAGATAATCTACTCTAGTGTTTCTCGAACTTTTTTGGTTCACGGTACATTTTTTTACATAAAAATTTTCGCGGCACAATTAACAATTTTCATGACCTTTTTGAAGTCACAAAACTTGAAGATGAAGGTTTAATTTTAGCAATAAAATTTTAAACTTAATGCAGACTTTATCAATGGAACCAGTTTCTAGGATCAACTGGGGTTACCTAACCTTGAATTACAGTGGATTTAACTGTTTACTTGAATCAAGGGTGCAGAACTGATGAATTACATATTGATCATTTTTGATAATTTTTGATCATTTCATCAGTTTCGCATCCTTGCACCAGGAAGTTCTATTGAGTAAAGACTAGAATGAGTTCCATAAGGAGTCCTAGAAGTTCATGCTTCATTTCTTAAAATCAGAAGGAAAGCACTTAAATCTAAAATCAAGCTCTGTGTCGTCATTAAAGAACCATTTTGAACTTCTGAAAAATTCATGATTTTTGGATTATCAGGATTCGAACCTGCGAACTTAAAGTCATGATACTTAACTTGAGTCAAGTAAGTTTCCAATAACTCCATCAAAGCAATTAATTGATTTTATGAATAAAGGATTTGAAACCTATTTAAAAAAAACCCACTGATTACGTTACTTAACCTCCAAACGATCCCCAAAATCAGAATTTATTTTTAAAAAGTTAATTTCACTATTCTTCCTGCTTCATTATTCAATCCATTATTAATTATTTCACGAAAAAGAGATTCGGATGAAAGCAAAAATAACATGCAGTTAACTTTATTTTCTTCAGTTAATGTAAAGTAATTTAGATATGTTTTGAAAATTACTTTTTAATGTCTGCCTGATCAAGCCTTAACAAAAAAATTAAGAAGAAAACTTAAAACTCTTCATGCATTATGTTCTTAATACACTAGCTACGTATTTGCTTCTTTTTTGTTGTGTTTTGTCTGCAGCATCGCCATACAATTTTTTTCACTTGATTTCCGTTCATTATAATTTTTTTTTGTGTTTTTTGAGGGCACTTTCTAAATCAAGATCTACTGCTGTGTAGAGTTATAAGGTCGTGATGTATGACTTTGACTAGTTTTTTTTTTTGGGTACAAAATTTGTTTTTAATTTTTTTGATGCGAAAGAAATTTTCCGGCAATTTTTTGACGATTATTGGAATTGCATTGACATCTTTTATGATTAGTTGAGGCACAAAAAAAATTTTTTATTTTCCAAAATACCTACAAAAACTGAAAATCTCCCAAATATCATCAACATTAACTGCACCAACCTCTCAATTAAAATTCCAAACATCTGCCGCACATTTAATATACACGACAAGTGCCATACATTTCCATACGGCTTTAAAAATTTCTCTAACATTTTTTTTTCGTTGTGACCTTCAATAAGCGAATAAAAAAAGCCAGTAACAATAATGTGAATGAAATGAAATTGTTTCACACTCATGCTGTAAATGGAATAGTCTAGCAAGCTGTTCATTGAACCGATTATTTGTTGTCACTTTTACGACCGTAAAAAGTGACTCTAATTGAATTGTAGGTAGCTGTTAAAGTCCTACGATCGTTGTCTGAGACTTTTTAATGAGATGTTTAGAAGGAAGTGATAAGTTGATGTGGGTGTTGTGTGGTCCAGTTGGTATTGTTTGTTGTTTATCTTGTATTTGGTAGAACCTTGGAACTTAAGCTGGATTACTTTGTTGCAATCAGAATTATTTATGCGACAATAGATCCCAGCTTAATCATAGCTGTTTAAAGGAAACTTTATAATTGAACTTTAAGTATGGCAATCGACCATGAAGTCTAGGATCAATCGATAGCTCAGTTTTACGAGCGTTCAATCAGAAATCGTAATTCGTAGGTTCAAATCCCAGTTTGGCTCTGTTTTTAAGAATCATAATTTCATGTTTTAAGTTACCAGATTTTCTGGGGTCCTTCATAAATGCCGTCTTAAAATAGTTTTCAAGTAATTCTATTGTTTAAGACATATTTACCTCATTTTCCATACAAAGTCATTTTTTGAAGACCCCTTAGGGGTCGTTCACTTATGACGTCCAAAATTAACGGTCATTTTTCAAAAAAGAACAATGAATTTCCTGAAATTTCTATTGTTCTTTTCTTCTAACCTCCCCCCCTGGACGGGATGTGAACAGCCCCTTAGTACCAACTTTAGACACCCCACATCCAGTCCTTAACCAATAATCAACCAAAATCGATACTTTAAGACCCCTCTCCAAATTCAGCTTATTAATCACTATCAAAATTCAAATTATCTCAATCAAGCACTTCATTCACACCTCAACTACATACCTCAATTATAAATTCCCTAAAGCCAAAAAAATCATTTTACACAAAAATTTTATTACTAACCCACATTAACTTTCATAAACACGAACAAACTCTCATAATTCAATTCATCATCAGACAATAGCTAAACTTAGACATTCCAAGTCATAACTTGTCAGTCAATAATTATGAAAAAAAAAGCTGA